ATGCCGGGTCTCGTGGACACATGGGCTTCATTGAAACCTCAACCCCTCCCATGTTGTTTCCATTAAACATGAAAAAACAGGCTTAAAAATGGAAGAATCACACAACTGGTCAGGGGTGAACACGAGGCCAGTAGGAAGCCGAGACCTTCGCTTTATTAATTAAAAAAAAAAATTCACCAATGACATGAATCTAGGAGAGGGAGGTTTGAGGATGAGGGAAAAACAGTGGTGAAACCCAGGGGACAGGTGCTAACCCAGAGGTGCCGAACACGAGTGGGAGCATGTGACAGCAACTGAGCCAGGACTCCTGAGTGACCAGGAGCAGTCCTCAAGGCCCCCGATCAATACAGTGTGTCAGCAACACAGCCCAGCGTGCTTCCAGAGGAAGAAGGGGAAGCCACAATGAGGGGGTCACTTACTGACACCCTTCCGGAGTACTATCTCTGCCTAGAAGACACTTCCACCATTATCTTGCCTGGGAGACAAAGAAGGGGAGAGTCAGGAGATCACGAGGGGATGAGGGGGGAGCGGAGGAGCAGAAAGAGGGAAAGGCAAGGAAGGAGGAGCCATTGAGGAAGCTTAGCTTCCAAGGTTCCCCCACTTGCAGGTGTACCTGTGTGTGCTACAAGTTCCTGGTGTAGTAGAGTGTTTCTGTTGGGCAGGGGAAGCCAAGTTGCAACTTGAGAACAAGAATGAGTTCCTGGGAAACTGCCTAAAGGTATCATTGATGAAAAACACACTTGGTTCTCCTCATCTCACCAAATATGTTGGATGTCTTTTTCTCATTTTAAATATTCACTTTCATACCTAAGGACTGCCAACATTGTATAAACATTGTTGTTGTTGTTATGTGCTGTCGAGTCAAACCCGACTCATAGCGACCCCTCCTAGAGCCCACACAATTACGGAGCATAAATGGACCTGCCCTGCCCTGCTCCACACTCTTCCTTGGCTCCCCAGTGCCCTCAGCGACCCAAATGTCTATAGCGAACTCCATTTCCCATCTATTCCTTCGCTCGACGCCTACATTTCCCATCATGCACGACAGCGTCTATTTCTAGGATTTTTCCTCTCCCAGCGCTTCTGCCCCTCAGGACCCAACCCTCGCCTTACGTCACCGGACTCTAGTCCCCGCCCCTTACCCCGCCCCCCCGCTTAGAGTGGGCGTGACCTCTGAGCGATCATGGCTCCCATTGGCTGTTTCGTCACCGGAGGGGCGTGGCTACGGGAGCCGGGCGGACACGTATTGTACCGAGGCTGAGGCGGCGGCCGCCGAGGATGCACCCGACAGGCCTGGCGGCGCCGGCGTCTACAGAGACTGCCCGGCAGCGTAAGTGGCGTACGTGCCTGGCGGAGGAGATCGGGCGGGTGGGGGCGTGTCGGGGCCACGGCGGCAGTTGGCGAGGTCGTTGAGGGTCGGGGGTCACGAGGTCAGAAATTAGGTTCCTCGAGGTGTGTCCAGCGCAGGGATGCCGTGTCCGGGTAGGGGGCGCGTTAGGGTCGATTCTTTAGGACATTCCTTTGGAAGAAACAACCTGGGGCAGAATATTGTGTGATATGCAAAGGAAGGAGACTTTCATTCATTCTCAGTTAGCAGCAAACCCTCCCCTACTCCCAACCCTTCCGTGGCTCCCCAGTGTCCTCTAGTTGTCTCCACTCTCCTTAATGCGGCCTTTACGGCCCCCGGTGTGCAGATATGGCTCCGCTTACCCCTCATTTAAGATATTTTATTGTACTCATAACCTCCTTTTCTCCTCTGCCAATTTGTATCTTTCTTAAAGATTCTCCTCATCTCTGTGAGTGTGCGTGCCTCTCATGTATTCTTTTTTGCCTTAGCTCCTCTTGTGCCAGTCCCTGTGCTAGAATTTGGAGACCCTAGCTCTGGTAGCATAGTGCCTAAGGTACTTGACTGCTAACCAGAAGGCTGGCGGTTCAAACCCACCAGCCACTCCTCGGAAAGAAGGTTGGACAATCTACTTCTGTAGTGATACCGCCTCGGAAATCCAAGGAGGGGTCACTATGAGTCAGAAATGGCTCAACAGCGGTAAATGTGTGTGTGTGTGTGTGTGTGTGTATATAGTAACCAGAAGGAGCTCTGGTGATGTAGTGCCTAAGGCATTTGACTGCTAACCAGAAGGCTGGCGGTTCAAACCCACCAGCCACTCTGTGGACGGAAGACAGGGCAATCTACTTCGCAAAAATTTCGTGCCTCAGAAACCCAGTGAAGGTCTCTGAGTCAGAATTGATTCAATGGCAGTGGATATAGTAACCAAGAGAGCCCTAGTATTGTTGTGTTAGGGGTTAGAGTGTAGTAGGAACACAGACACTACGGTAGGAAACAAACAAATTAACAAGATAGTTTGAGGAATGGTAAGGGCTGCAGTCAAGAAATCAGACAACCACTGCTCTGGGCCAATCTGCTACAAAAGACCTCTTTAAAGTGCTGAAGAGCAAAGATGTCTCTTTGAAGACTAAAGTGCACCTAACCCAAGCCATGGTGTTTTCAGTTACCTAATATGCATGTGAAAGCTGGACAATGAATAGGGAAGACTGAAGAAGAGGGCGAAGAGTACTGAAAGTACCATGGACTGCCCAAAGAATGAACAATTCTGTCCTGGAAGAAGTGCAGCCGGAATGTTCCTTGGAAGCGAGAATGGCCAGACTTCGTCTCACCTACTTTGGTCATGTTGTCAGAGGGGACCATTCCTTAAGAAGGATATCATGCTTGGTAACGAAGGGTCAACGAAGAAGGGGAAGGCCTTTGAGATGGATTGACACAGTGGCTGCGACAACGGGCTCAGGTATAGCAAGGATTGAGAGGCTGGCTCAGGACTGGGCAGTGTTTCTTTCTGCTGTGCACAGGGTCACTATTAGTTGGAGCCAACTTGACAGCACTCAACAACAACAACAACGAGGGCTGCAAAGGGATAATCCGGGATGTGACTGGGGGTTGAGAAGTTCTCTGGTGTTCAGGAAGGTGTGATGTGCTCATCCCTCTCTTCAGCCCTTGGTGAGAAGCCTGGCCGACCCTGTGCCTGGTGGTACTGGGAACACAGCAGCTCCCCAACAGCTCTGCTTCCTGTTTTTCTGGAGCTACCAGTCCAAAGTGGAAGACAGATAGTGACAGTCCAGAGGGATGAAGCGGTGATGAAGGCAGAGGGATCGGGCCTGGCACAGGTGCAGGGGTCGGGGCCGGGACTGGGACCGGGGAGACAACAGGCTGAGGGATCAGGCGGGATGGGTCAACATATTTGGTGAGATGAGAACCAAGGGTCACAGGAGGAGGGGTCAGGGCTGGGGAAAGGGAAGCCCAGGGTGCTGAGGGAGCCCAGAGGCGGCACCGGACCCAGTGTAGGGGTGTCATGAAGCTTTCTGGAAGAAGATATCTCTAATGATGATGAATTAGCCAGGAGAAGGGGGTTTGTGGTGAGGGGAAATGGCATTGGAGACCTGTGCCAAGAGATGAACATATACGTTTCAGCGGTGCTGAGTGCTCAGGAGAGAAAAACAAAACACAAAGCCCCTGGATGTTATACGAGAACAAGATGGGGTGATGCTTTATATCGAGGAGTGAGGAAGGCCTGTCTGAGAAGGAAAGGAGTTGAGCTCTGAGTGCTGTGTTGGCAGGCGCTAATGGAGGGAACATATTCCAGAGTGATAGCACTTCATGGTCAAAGGCCTTGGGGGGCCAAGGAGCTTGGCAGGTCTGGGGCACAAGAGGAGGTCAGTATGACTGGGGTGTGGTGAGCCTGGGGAGGGGAGGAGGTAGGAGATGGGCGCAGTGTTGGTAGCGGCGGGTCTTGCAGGGCCTAGTAGGCATTTGGAGTTTATTCTCAGAACAGTGGGCCTCGATCTTAGGCCAAAAAGTGACTCACAGTGATCACTCTGGCTGTCATTTGGAGAGAAGACTGCTGGAGCTAACAATGGGCAGGAGGACACTGAAGCCAAGGGCAAGGTGACACAGTTAGAGGAGAGGGCAACACTGAGGTCAAGTGGGTGAGAACAGATTGGGTGTCAGACAGAAGGGGAATCGGACACTGAGGGGAGGGTCCAGGGGCGGCCAGAGGCAGACCCCGGAGAGACGTGGCAGAGCCCCAGGCACACGTGGCTGTGAACAGCTGCTGAGGTGGGTGCCTTCGGTGAGAGGCGCAAGGGCTCAGGATGGAAAATTGGCTCCAGGAATAAATAATGCTTGAGAAGGAATGATCAGGAGACTGTCAGCTCCTTGAAGGCAGACGTTTCTGTCTTTTTCTTCTTTGTTTACCCTCAGTGCCTGCAGCAGAGCCTGACAGACAGAGGTGCTCAATAAATGTCTGTGGTGCTCAGAAAGGGAAGAGAAACAGAACTGTGCAGTGTCGTGGAAGCCACGAAGACAGAGAGTTGGAAGCTGGCCTTTGGGGCAGTGGCATGAATGCTGCAGAGGGGTTGAGTCAGGGGAGGCTGGAACAACAACCTAGACCTCCGCAGTGTTGAGAGGGATTGTGGGGGCCAGGGGAGAGCAGAAGCCAAAATTGCTGAGGCCTGAGGGGTGACCGGGTGTCCTGGGTGGGCCACTAACCAAAAGGTGGATGGTTCGAATCCACCCAGAGGTGCCTTAGAAGACAGGCCTGATGACCTTCTGCAGGGTCACAGCCATGGACGCCCTGTGGAGCATGGTTCCACTCTGACACACACCCACACACCCGGTCAGTAGGAGTTGAAATCGGCTCGAGGGCAACCGTTGTTTTCGGTTTTTGAGGAGGTGAGAGGGAGGGAGAAAGGCTTTCACTGAAGCTTTCTGGAAGCCAGTCCTTCTGTCCAGAAGTGGGAGAGGGACAAGGGAAGTGGGACTTGGGGACAAGGGGGCAGGGTCTAGTGCTTGGTGCTTTTGGATTGAGGAGACCTGGATCTTTCTAGACTGCAAACAATTGAGAGGAAGAGTTGGGGGCTGGTGACTGACAATAGGTGACATGGGTGGACCGCTTTTTTTGCACCAGGCTAGGGGCAGTTGACGGGCCTGACAGTTACTTGCCTCAGAACAGCCCTGCAGGGCAGTTAACGCCATTCTTCAAGGGAGAAAGCTGAGGTACAGAGCGAGAAGGTCATGCTGCAGATGTCGGATTCCTCTCATCTGACTGTGAGCTTACCACCTGTTCCCTGTGCCCCAAACAGGGTCTGGTGCGTAGGAGGACCTCAGGAAATAGTCACTGCAATAACATTGCTTATTGGCTAGGAGCAGGGGCTCTGGAGCCAGAGTGCTGGGTTCAAAGCCCACACTCCCCTTCTTAATAGACAGCATTCCCATCTGCCCTGTGACTCAAACATGGGTCTGAGGAGACATCGTCAATTCCTCCCTCTTCCTTACCCTGCCCAGCCAAGCACGTTCCCTGCTCCCCACTGCTCTCACCCTGGCCCCGTCCCCCCCGGTCTCCCACCTGGACTATCAGCAGCCACCTTCTCCCTGCCCCCACCTTCCAGTCCCTTCCCCATATGAAGCCTGAAAGTCCTTTTTAAAATGTTTGACAGCTGGCTCTGTCACGTGCTGCCTAGATGCCTTTCGGTCAGGGCTTGAGCACTTGAGGGCTTGGTTTCCCTGTCTAAAACGGGTGGTAGTGGCATCACAGTGTGGGTGGGAGGACTGAATGGGTTAATTCATAGCAAGTGTTTAGAAAAGCTCAGCCTGGCATTAGTGTTGGGGAGATGAACAGCGAATAAAACAAATGAAATGTCTGAGTCCAACACCACAACTCAAAAGCTGATGCTTTTGAGTTGTGGTGTTGGTGAAGAATACTGAAAGTACTGTGGACTGCCAAAAGAATGAACAGATCTGTCCTGGAAGAAGTGCAGCCGGAATGCTCCTTGGAAGTGAGAATGGCCAGACTTTATCTCACCTACTTTGCTAATGTTGTCAGAAGGGACCAGTCCCTGGAGAAGGATATCATGCTTGGTAAAGGGGAGGGTCAGTGAAAAAGGGGAAGGCCCTCAACAAAATGGACTGACACAGTGGCTGCAGCGATGGGCTCAGGTATGGCAAGGATTGTGAGGCTGACGCAGGACTGGGCAGTGTCTCGTTCTGTTGTACATGGGGTCACTGTGAGTTGGCACCAACTTGATAGCACCTAACAACAACAACACTGAGATGGTACTGTGCTGTTACGGCTTTTCTAGCCATAAGTCTTTGTAAACTCTGTGGTGGAAATTGCTGTGAGCAGCTGTTGTTGTTGTTGTTATGTGCCGTCGAGTCAAACCCGACTCATAGCGACCCCTCCTTGGGTTTCCGAGGCAGTATCACTACGGAAGTAGGATTGCCCAACCTTCCTTCCGAGGAGGAGCTCCTGATTGTAAGTTATCCGCCTGGGGTATTTCTGTTGGGAGTGGCACAAAGCAATGTTCTGGGAGGTTCGCTTTCTCTCAGGTGCTTAGAATTCTGATGCTATGATTGGCTAGTTTGGCCACTCTGCCAGGCTCAAAAGGAGGCCTTCCTAGAGGCAGAAGTCTCTCTGACCTCTGGCTGAGGAAGACGTATTGCTGAGAAAGAGACACCGAGAGACACGTGCTGCTGGGAAAGAGACTGAGAGAGACTATTGGCTGAGAGACAGCGGGCTGGGAGAGAGGCTGAACATCATTCCTGAACTTGAATTGTAGCCTGGTGCTTCCCTAATAAACCCCATAATCTGTGAGTTCTGTGTGGCCACTGCAGTGAATTATCAAACCCGGCAGACAGGCTTTGGGTGCTGCGGGAGGAACGGTTGGTGTAAGGGCTGGAGGGAGGCAGCATGTCTGGCCTCACAGTCATGGACCTTGGGCTTCTGATAGTGCTTCTGTCTTCCTCTTGTGTGGTTAGAGGAGGTCAGAAGATGTGGCCTCCTTGCCCTTTTTGCAGGGATGAAGCAGGGGAGGGGCTGCAGGGAGAGTGCAGTTGTAGACAGGATGGACAGGGAAGCCCCACTGAGCAAGACCTGAGGGCACAGGGAGGAGCCATGTTCTGGCCCCAAGGAACAGCCAGTGTTGGGCATGAGGTGGGAGTGTGTCTGGTGCGTTCAAGGAGCATGGTGAGGCATGTGGCTGGGGGCCAGATAAGCGAGGTGGAACACCGTGGAAGGGACGTGGGCAGAGACTTGTTTGTGAAAGTACAGGATTTTGTGCACAGTTAAGCAAAGGAAACCCAAGCCCGTTGCTGTTGAGTCAATTCCACGCACCCCATGCACAGTAAACCAAAAAGAACCAAGTCACTGCCGTGGAGTCGGCCCCGGCTCATAGCGACCCCTCCTTGGGTTTCCGAGGCGGAATCACTACAGAAGTAAATTGCCCAGTCTTCCTTCTGAGGAGTGGCTGGTGGGTTTGAACCATCAGCCTTCGGGTTAGCAGTCGAGTGGTTATCAGTGTCATCACTGTCATCATTGTCATTGTCATCATTTGGGTGGGTGGATGGATGGCAGGCAGACAGAACCCACACTCAGTGGTCCATCTGACTCTAAAACCGGTCAGTGCCCTTTAAAGAGAATGGCCCCTCTATGCGTGGGCACGGGCGGGAGTGCTCCAGCAGAATGAGTGAAGCCCCGCTGCTCTTTCTCTTCAGCCTCAAAGCGCAGGACCCCTGTGTCCCAGCCGGGTATGGCTGACCCCCACCAGCTTTTCGATGACACGAGTTCGGCCCAGAGTCGGGGCTACAGGGCCCCGCGGGCACCCAGTGGCCTGGGCTACCCTGCAGCCTCCACCTCACCCCAGGCGGCCTTCCTGGCCGATCCTGTGTCCAACATGGCCATGGCCTATGGGAGCAGCCTGGCCGCCCAGGGCAAGGAGCACGTGAGTGGGCTAGGGCTGGAGGGAAGGGGCGTGCAGCAGGAGGCCACAAAGCCTCAGGCTCACAGTGGGAGGGAGGAAGGGGAGTGGGCCGTGGGCTCCAGTGCTGGCTGGCTGCTTCTGGATTGAGGAGACCTGGGTCTGCCTCCCTAGATCGACCGCTTCTTCCCCATCAGCAAGCTCAAGTACTATTTTGCGGTGGACACTGTGTATGTGGGCAAAAAGCTGGGCCTGCTCGTCTTCCCCTACCTGCACCAGGTCAGCACCCCAGATTCCTGAGGAGGGGAACCCGGCTCTTATCATCCTGCGCAGGGCGGGGCGGGGCGGAGAGGGGGGTTGGAGGCTGGGGCCAGTGTGAAGGGCAAGGCAGCTAGATTTGCCCCAAGGGAGGGCCTGTAAGCAGACGGAGGATATCAGCTCTTGAGTCCTGCCTGCCCCCCACTATCCCCACAGGACTGGGAGGTGCAGTACCAGCAGGACACACCTGTGGCCCCCCGCTTTGACATCAATGCTCCTGACCTCTACATCCCAGGTTTCACCCCCCAGTTCCCTGGCAGCCTCCTCCCTCTGGGTGGGGGGGTGGGGTAGAGGTCTGGGTGCCTGAAGGCACCAGGATGGTGTTTCTTCCTCTGGCCAGTGTCTGTCTGTCTACCTCCCACAGCTATGGCTTTCATCACCTACATCTTGGTGGCTGGCCTTGCACTAGGGACCCAGGATAGGTAAGAAGCCTGGAGCAGGCGGAGTGGGCGAGTCTGGTGGGGGAGGGGCAGTCAGGAAGGCTTTTCGGTTCTGGTCTCTCACATGCACCCAGTTGCCCCACCCTGTGCTGGTGGACCCACCAAATTGGCTTGTCCGCTTGGCTTCCATCACCAGCCGCATCCTGTTCTCTCCCAACTAGCTGCCCCGCCCCTTGCACCTGCGGGCCCCACCCCTCACTCCGAGGCCCCACCTCTCTTAGCACCGCCTGCCCCTCACTCCGCGGCCCCACCCCTCACACTGCTGCCCTCTGGTCCAGCAAGGCCCAGCAACAACCGGGAAGGTCTTGTCTGAGACGCTGGCCTGGCCTGCCCTGTTGAGAAGCCGTCTGCATTTGCCCGTCCTGGTTCAAGCCCAGCTCCTTAGCCTGCACTGCCGCCTGTGCAGCCCTCCTGGCCCCTCCCCCTGCTCACTCTGCTGTGACCATGCTGTTCCCCCATTTCTCCAGAGGGCCTGGCTGTACCTACTCAGGGCCTTTTGCTCCCCTACCTCCCCTGCTCATTCGTGTTTCCACTGCAGTGTCACCTCCTCAGGAAAGCCTTCTTGCTCCCCCGAGGCCAGGGCAAAGCTTCCTCGCTCAGAGTCCCCTGTCCACTTGCTTTGAGCCACTGAAAACAAACGTCATTAGAATCAATCAATTAATTGTTGAGGCACTGGACACATAGCAGGGACCAAGACAGACAATCCTTCTGCCCTGACCAGTGCCTGTTCCTTCAGGCCTCAGCTCAGGTGTCCCGCCCTCTGGGGAGCTGTTTCTGACCTTCCTTCTACCCCTAGACTGGCTCCCCTAGCCCACTGAGGTTCCTCCATCCCAGCCAGACCCCTCTGCTGACCCAACCCCTCCGCCTGTGTCCCCCACCCTGGCTCCCACTCTTCCACCCCTGTAGACCTCTGGTAGCATAGTGGCTAAAGCACTTGACTGCTAACCAGAAGGCTGGCAGTTCAAACCCACCAGCCACTCCTCGGAAGGAAGGTTGGGCAATCCTACTTCCATAGTGATACTGCCTCGGAAACCCAAGGAGGGGTCGCTATGAGTCGGGGCCAACTCGACGGCACATAACAACAACAACAACAACAACAGCCCCCATCTTGGGCCCTGCCAAACCCCACTGCCCGTGTCCCCCCCTCCTGGCTTGACCCCCTCCACCGTCGCCTCCCCTGACCCAGTTTGACCCCTGTCCCTGTGCCAGCCCCATCGTGACCCTGATCACTGGGGGCTGTCACTGGGGACAGGTCGGCTTCACCCCTTACACTGGGATTTCTGTGAGAAAAGGGCCCAGGCCGTGTAGGTCACTGCCGGGTCCCCAACCCCACTTGGCACCAGGCTAGGCCCAGAGGGTGCTCAGGGTGCTGAGCCGGCCAACTGACTGACAAAGTGTGGGTGCTGGCAGGTTCTCTCCTGATCTCCTGGGGCTGCAGGCGAGCTCAGCGTTGGCCTGGCTGACGCTGGAGGTGCTGGCCATCCTGCTCAGCCTCTACCTGGTCACCATCAACACCGACCTCACCACCATCGACCTGGTTGCCTTCCTGGGCTACAAATATGTCGGGTGAGTGCTCCCTATCCTCCCTGCCAGCCCCAGGCCCCGAGCCTCTTTCTCAGACCAGCCTTACCCTCTCCCTCCCCTTAGGATGATCGGTGGGGTTCTCATGGGCCTGCTCTTCGGGAAGACTGGCTACTACCTGGTGCTGGGCTGGTGCTGCGTGTCCATCTTCGTGTTCATGGTGAGCTGGGGGCTCGGGGTGGGGGGTGGGGCTGAGGCCACAGGCCTTCTGGGCCAACTTGGGACCTCTGGAGGCACCTGAGCTAAGCATTTCAGATGCCTCGTTGCAAAACTGAGGAGCCCTGGGGAGGCCTTCCTGCAAGAGGGGGTGTCCCAGCTCAGGACTGCGGGAGGGGGGGAAGCCAGTTAGGGTGCTAGAGGCCAGGGCTACCCCAAGCAGGGCTTTGGCCTGGGCCCCCACCCTCACCCTGCTCTCCTGGCACGGCAGGTGTTCCTGCCAGAATTTCTGTTGGGAGGAAAAAAGGTTTAGCCCCCCTCAGGAGAGTCTCGAAGGGCCATTCCAGCTGGTCCAGGTCTGTCCAGACCCAAGTCTGACCCTCAGCTTTGCTGGATACTGGGCATATCACATCTCCTGTTGAAACTTCAGTTTCCCTTTCTGTAAAATGGGCATGATGGTATTTGGTCCTCAGGGTACTGGGAGGATTCAGTGTGAGCATGGTGAGAAGTGGAGAGCAAAAACCGGTGGCTGCTGGGCTGGATCCGGCCCTCAGACAGACTGAGATGTTCCCATTTAACAGTTTTGTTTTTTTTTTTTTAAAAAAAAAAGCACTTCTGGCTGGTCTTGAAAATTTGTCATGTGTCCAGTGTATAAGCTGTGTTGTGCATGGCAGCAGCAGCAGCAAGACTCGCCACCTGCTGCTTCAGGCAGAGTGTCTGAGGTGAAGTTCACCTCCTGTATGGTCTTGGCCTGGCATTGACTTTGGCACCTTGACTAGGAGGTTTTGTTCACAGGGCCAGGCCAGGAGCAAGTCCTCACTCTGTGAGACTGGGGTGAGATTGGGGTGGCAGAGGAGCAGGACTTGGGCCCAGCTGCCTCCTGGACAGATAAGGGAACCGAGGCCACAGAGGGCTGAGGTCTGGTCTTCAGCTGCCTCTGTGGCCGGCAGGGAAACTCCAGGCTGCTGACGGGCAGGGACTTGGCCCAGGCCGCCCGGTGCTCGGGGGCAGAGATGGGAAGCAGTCCCAGGGCCCTGGCGTGGGCCCAGGCCGAGAGGGCTCCGGGTCACACTGACCCCGTGATCTGTCTCCTCACCCCTCCCCAGATCCGGACACTGCGTCTGAAGATCCTGGCTGAGGCAGCGGCAGAAGGGGTCCCTGTGCGCGGGGCGCGGAACCAGCTGCGCATGTACCTGACCATGGCGGTGGCCACGGCGCAGCCTCTGCTCATGTACTGGCTCACTTTCCACCTGGTGCGGTGAGGGTGGCTCTGCCGGAAAGCCTCCCGCCACCGCCTGGTGGCCACCGTGTGCCGCTGCGACTCATCTCCTGTGCGCGCGCGCGTGCTTGCGTGCGCGCCGCCAGCCCCAGTTCTCGCTGCGCCGCTGCCGCTGCGCCTGTGTGGCTGCTGCGCGTCGAGCCTCTCTCTCCCCCCAACCCCGTCACCTAGGTGCTGAGATCTCCAGCTGCACAGGCCGCGGCCCGGGAGCGGCCACTGTTAGAGAAACAATAAACCGTGTCGGGCACTCCGTGTGGCAGCCTCTCCTTGGCCGCGCGCCTGGCTGACCGGCAGGAGGCAGGCCCAGCCTGCGAAGGGAGGGGCGGCACTGGGCGGGGCAGGAACCGTGCACCGGGCCTTGTCACCTGGAGGAGGGTTTAATGAGTGCACCCTAGGTCCCATCAGTGAGGGGCCGCCTTCTTCTTCTTCTCCGCCTTCTTCTCCTTCTCTGCCTTCTTCTCCTTGTCCGCCTTCTTCTCCTTCTCCGCCTTCTTCACCTTGGGCTTCTTGACTTTGCCCCTGGCCCTTTCCTGCTGCTCTGACCCAGCCGCGTGGGCCTGCCACCCGGGACAGTTGGGGAGAGAAGGACAGGGTTGTTTCCCTGAGACACCCAGGTTCCAGGCCAGAAGTGGGCCGGAGCCCACCTTCCCCCCCAGCCCTAGGACCCTGGCCGTCACCTGGGGCTCAGGGCACATTCGGGAGGATGGGGTTCTTACCTTCCCTTCCACGTCGGAGTCGCTGGAGCTGCTGGTGCTGGAGTCAGAGGTGCTGCTGTGGGCATGCTAGTAGGGGGCCGAGCAGTGAGGCAGGGGCCCCGCCCAGCTCCCAGCCCCCGAGGCAGCCCTCGCCCTCTGCCGGCTGGGATGTGCCTGCCCGTGACTCACCTTGGGATTAGAAGCTGCTCCTGCTGCTTTGGGGAGACTGTGTTTGGGTTCTCCCCCATGGCCTGCCCCATCAGATTTCTTGGAGTCCAGGGCTGTAGAGAGAAGAAAAGGTGGGTGGGTTGCAGGTGGCAGGGAATGGCCCTCAGTGACAGCCCCTGTGCTTGAGGCTGGCCCCCTGCACCTCAAGCCCCTTTATTCCCCAGGAGCACACCTGCCGCCAGGTCGAAATCCATGGTGGTGAGAGAGGATGTGCTCAGAGCGCCGGAAGGGCCTGGGCTACACTGGGCCTGGGTAATACTGGGCTGGGCATGGGGAGGGGCTGCAGGCCCTACCCACCCAAGGAATTCTGAAGAGTTCCACCAAACCTTTGTCCCAGCCACTGAGGCCTGACTCATCGCCCCACCCAGCACTGCCCAACCTGCCCTCTCTGGGGAGGGCAAGCAGATTTCTTTCCCTTGAGCTTTGGTGGGGGAATTGAGTTCTCAGGGGCAGGGTGTGTGGGTGGCTGCAGATATCTGGGGAGAGGAGCTAGAGCTGTCATCAATATCCCCAAAAGACTCACATGCTTCCTTCTGAAGAAACGAATGCCTTCCTGGGTACTGTAGTAACACTAGCACTCATTGTGTGCTTACTGCTTGCCAGGGGCTGTTCTAGGTCTTCATGGGAGAGACACACTGGCTTGGTGAGCAGCAGTGTCTGAAGGGTTAAAGGGCATGGGCTCGGAGCCAGCCTGCTGAATTTGAAGCCCAGCTGTATCATTTAGCAGCTGAGTGGCCCTGGGAAAGTTTCTGCCCCTCTCTGTGCCTCAGTTTCCTGATCTGTAAAGTGGGCAGATTTGAGACTCAAATGGGTTAAGAATGGTGCCTGGCACAAGAGTAAGTGCTGTATAAGATCATTGTTTGAAACAATAAAAGGTAGATACTGTGTCCCTATTTCACAGACAAGAAAACTGAGGGACCAAGCAAGTGAGCTGGTGACGTTCAAACAATATGAACAGACTAGAAATGGGGTTCAAATAAGAGTCCAAGGCTCTGCCTGTCCCCTTGTTTCACTCTGAAGGGCTCTCAGTGGAAGGAGCAGCAGTCACACCAGCCTGCCTTCCCCACTGTGGGCTGGGCCCAGGTCACGTGGGAGGAGCTGGGTGCTGGAACCACTGCTCCCATGGCTGTGAGGCTGGGTGTTGGTGTGTCCTGCCAGCAGCTAAGCCGTAAGTGCAGGGAGTGGCGGCCAGGGGCTGAGGTCTGGGGATGAGGCTGTAACATCCAGTCCACATCCTAGCTTCACTCAGGATCCCTCCTCAGAGCGGCCTACCCTTCTACCAGCTCCACAGAGCCCCACCACTCCACCCCTTCCGGGCTGCATATCCATCACAGCAATTACCGTTACTGGAAGTTATCTGAACCTGCATTCATTCCTTCAGCATATATTTACTGAGTACCTACTTTATGCTCGGCACAGATCGATGGCTGGGGATACTGAAGTGAACAAAATCCAAAAGTGCCAGCCTCGTGGAAATCGATGTTCTAGTGGGGGGAGATGAGCAAAACACAAGGTGAAATACACAGTATGTTAGGGAAAAAAAAAAAAAAACCCAGAAACCAAATGACAAGATGTAGCATAGCCATACGATGCAATACGATTCAGCAGTAAAAAAGGAATGAACTGGTACATGCTGTATCATGGATGAATCTCAAAAATATGTGAAGTGAAAGAAGGCAGACATGAGACAACATACATGAGGCTATAAAAGGAAATGTTCAGAAAAGGCAAATTGATAGATTCGTGGTTGCCAGGGCCTGGAGACGGGATGGGGCATTAATGAAAATGTTCTGAAGCCAATTTAGGGTGATGGTTGCACTCCTCGGTAAATTATTAAAAATCATTGTACTTTAAAATGGATGAATAACATAAATCACACTGATAAAAACTAAAAAATGATGAGTACTAAGAAGGGAAAGATAGCAGGAAAAGAGACTAATATCGATCGATGCAGCAGTCAAGAAATCAAACGACGTATTGCACTGGGCAAATCTGCAAAAGACCTTGTGGTGCAGTGAATTACTTGCCATGACTTTTCTAACCATAGTCTGTAACTCCCACCAGATTACTGGGTGAGACCATGCAAATAAGGTGTGTAGAACACTAATGTTGGGATTGGTTAGTTTTGTCACTCTGCCCAGCTTAAATTGAGCCCTCTACTAACCAGAAGGCTGGTGGTTCAAACCCACCAGCCACTCCTTGGAAGGAAGGTTGGGCAATCTACTTCCGTAGTGATACCGCCTCGGAAACCCCGGAGCCCACCTTCCCCCCCAGCCCTAGGACCC